AATGATGTCAAAAGCACAATAGAGGCTCTCTCAGGCTGGTAAAGAGAAGCACTCATGTGTGGTAATTATTCAGTACATCCTGCCAAATGTCACCTGAGCTTCTTTCACTCCTGCAGGTGCTAAACCCAGGGTATTAATTTAAATCAGTCAGGAGGTAAGACAGTGCCTGCCACTGGAGCATGCTAACTCAGCAGCCAGCTATAAAATTAACACTGGTACTTACTGGACACCTGCCACCTTTCTTTAAACAATAACATTTCAAGAATGGTTCCAAGGGAGATGTTGACACAGTCAGAACCTCATGTCGGTTGGATCTTCCCATAAAAAAAAAAAAAAAAATCAGAGCCCCATCCAGTGATGTATTTTACTGAAGTTTCAGGACTCCGAAGGGGGAAAGAAACAAACAAAAGACCAGAAAAACTTCAAACAGAAGAGGCAATGTGTCTCTCGGCCCACCAAATAACCTAACTGTTGTCTCCAGGGGCAAGGGGTGGCAATTAATCGCGTAATTGCACTTCATTAGAAAGCTTCTATTCCAACTCTGGATTTATTCAAGGAAAAAAACAACACATATGATCTGATTTGCTTATGTTGGGTGGAGAGGGGGAGAAACAAGGCCTAGAAGACTCTAATGACCTATGATCATGATACTGCCGTCCAGGAGGGATGAAGCATCCTGGCACCATGTGCCTGTTCTCCAAAGTAAAAGAACAAATAGGAGGTTCCAGTAACTGGGAAAATTCATACATTAGCACACATATGAATGGTTTTAGGGAACTCTGGTGATGTAAGAACGCCTTCTCTTCCCTAGCTCTGTAGATGTTAATGAAGAGCTAGGCTCACCTAGTGGACTATGACATTTAGTTGCCCTAGATATCTACAGGGTCTGGAAGTAAGAAGACCTGAGTGTGGCTCCTGAATCCACCATTTATTAGTCTAATGCCTCTGGACCAGTCATCCAGGTCTCTAAGTTTCGTTTTAAGATGAGAATGATAATATTCCCTACTTTATATGATCGGTGAATGGCTTAAATGAGACAGCGTGTGTAAAATGCTGAGCATAGTGACCTTCATGTAATAATGGCTCTATAAATACCAGTGATTATTTTCAATGGCTGGTATGCCTGCCGGAACAGAGTTTTTCAACTGGATAATTGGACCAGTAACATATTTGTTGTGGGGTATTGTTCTGCACAGTGTATGTTTAGCAGCATCTCTGGCCCCTCTATCCACTAGACGCCAATGGCACCCTTGTCCAATTGTGACAATCAAAAATGTCTCATGACGTTGTCAAGTGTCCCCTGGGACAACCACATCCCTGGTTGAGAACCACTGTTCTGCATCTCAGCACCATTATGGGTGATATTGCTAATTACAGTCCAACAGCTGCTTTGCCCTATTTGCTTTGAGCAATCATTAAGCGCTGTATTGGACACATTTTGTTAGATTTTCTTTCGTTTTAAACCTTACATCTACCTCTCTTCTGATGGCATCAGTACCCCCTTTCCTGCTTTGGGAGAACCATCCCATTGTATCTGTACCCTGTGTACTTTGTATCAAGTCCTCAGTATAGGACTTGACATCTAGTGAGTGTAATGCTCCATAAATGGTAGGAATTTCTTTCTCTTCTATTGGCTGATGGTGTGAGAAGATCTCCAAGCTCTTGGAAGCCACTGCGTGGAGCCAGGGCAAAGCCATTCTAGAAGAAACAGGACTGAGAGATTTAGACTCTGAATCAAGTCAAGTCTGACACTATCCCTACCCTCCTGGACTTTTGGTTCGGTGAGCCAATGGATTTCTTTCTTGTTATGTCAGTTGGCTTGATACAACTGTCTACTACATGCCAGGCATTATGCCACGTATTTGGGTATGCACCTTATCTAATCTCCATGGCAATCTCGTGAGGTACACAGTATACTGTATCCATTCTATAGGTGGCCAGTGGAGCTCAGACAGTTAGGTCATTCACTTAAGGTCCACATCCAGTATGGGGTAGAGCTGCAATCTCATTTCATTTCCTCCAATTCTCATCCAGTTTATTACATGTGTCAGTCTTGGTGGGGCCACTGAGCAGAAATAACCCTCAGTCCCAACTCGAACAAAGGCTGAAGGTGAGCAGAACTCTGTCCAAAGTCTCTGGGGAGACTCCTTGCATTCTGGAGGACAAGACTGCAAAATCTTTGCAGATGCATTTTGGATACGTGAAAACTATTTGCCTAGAGAGACTCAACTCCTCTCCATTTATCGACACGAAACAAGGAGAAAATTATATTAGTTAATATGAAACTGGTTTGTTTTGAACACATCCAAAAATAGCCAAGGAAAAAATTATCTTCAGTAATAAACCAAGGCAGATATGAAACCTTCATGCTTGGGGGAACACAAATGATCTTATTATCTTGAGCATCCTGATGGTGACTGTAAGAATTCATCTTTATTTGAGTTTCAGGCAAAATATAAAATAGTAATGTTACCTTGTGTTTAACACTGTCTGTATCCTGCAAACTCAAGTCCTGCTCCAAAAGTAATCATAAAATATCAAAGACACTACTGAGGAGCAGCCCAGCACCCTTCCAGGTCATCTGCCTGCATCGTGGCTGTTATCCACAACAATTCTGCAAAGAAGTTATTACCTGGATAAACTTACGAGGAAGGTTAAACCCTTTGTTCAAGGTCAACACTAATAATGAACAGAAATGAGAAACTCTGACTCCTGAGCCAGTGCTTCGTCCACCACATCACGCTGTTTGAGAAATGAACAAGATCCTGAGGACACATTCCCGATACTTTCCCTTCTGATGACTCACTCTCAAGTTTGCCCCAAAGCATGACCACTGAGGAAGAATAGGATTCCGAAGTATAAGTGTTCTAAGTCCCTGCAATATTTGACACACAACACTGTGTGGTATGGGTTGCAGGTATTCTAATCATCTAGTAGCTGGAGATCTTGGACAAAATACCCTAAAGGTCGCACCATAAAGAGACCAAAGTCATAGAACAAAATGCTTTCATTTTCCAAGTCAGTACTTTAGGGCTTTTGGTCAAAGGCCATTGGTATATTTCTGAAGTGTATGTCTCCAATATATCCATAATTTTCATCCACCATTTCTTTTACCTGAGTTACTTCATTTATCTCCCCATATGTATGTACATCTGCCAACTCCATCCCATTGTCCACAAAATGTAAACAAGATTATGCCCCGCCCCCTCCTGACACACACACACACACACACACACACACACACGCACACATGCACCTGCTTAAAAGTCTCTATGGTTTCCTATCACACTTAGGAGAAATATCAGTCTTTAAAATAATCTTCTGGATCCTTAGCAGTCCACTAGATTAATAAGAATAAATTAAACTTTTGCAAGATATGAATAACATTAAAACCTGAAAGATAATGTCAAAAAAAGTTTAACATTAGTCATGAGATACTAAAAAAGTTTACTAAGGTTTTAGCTTTCAAAAATTATGATAAAAGACATACTCTTCCTATTACTATTCCTATAAATCCAAGGAATAATTGAAAAATTTTAATGTTTGAATAAAAGCTATCCAAAATAGGCCCCAAACATCCTGATCAATGCAGAATTCCACTGTGCATTGATTTGATACACAAGGGGAAGATGAGATGAGGTATACAGTCGATAGAAAAGTCTATTTCTATCATGAAATATTTTTCATACATAGGTTTCACTGGTAACGATTAATACATAGATAATTCCTGAGAACCAAACAGGGAAATATACCCACTTTCCCAAACAAAATCTGATCTTTCTACAGAGACTTTCCCCTAAGGATAATAAACAAGTGATTCTGACAAAAGAACACTGCTCTGAAGATTACAGTTTTATTTCCTAATGTGAGGACCTTTGCCGTCTCTGGAAGATTCACAGACTCATTTATAGCATTTCAATTTCCAGGTACTTATAACAGAATGGGAAAGAGCTGTTTGGGAAAGAAGAGCTTAAAAACCTAGTAGGAAAAAAAAAACCTTCTAGGATAGTTGTAGGAGAATCGAATTGATCATATTTCTGAAAAGCAAAGCTTAAATAATTGGGCTTTGCTTATAACAGAATGAGCAGATTAAGTTGAGCAGAGCATTATCGTCATATATTCACACAAATTAGGATCTTAGGTGTTTGGAACTTCTGTCTTTACTCTCCTTATATCAAGTATTGTATTGCTGTCGGGAAGAACCATCCAGTTTTACAAACGAACAAAAAATTTTTCAAAGTCACAAGCTGACTGCTTTCAACTTTAATGTAAATGTCAGGCCATTTTACAGAGGGATTTGTATTTCTTAAAATTTAATAATTTAAAATTCTAAAATATAAAATTAATCTGCGATGTTTAAAAAGAGAAAAAAGAGCCCAAATTCTGAGGGGGAGAAAAGTGAATTCTTGATTAGATGAATCTCTTTGTAGCTAATGATCAACCCAGATATTATTAGCACCATCTTCCAAAATTGACTTCTGAAAGGAAAAAAGGAAAGCCCTAGAAATGCTTATTGGGTATTGATTGCAGTAAGCCAGTTCTAGAATCAACCTTCTGGAGTCAGCACTATTCATCACACCATGGATGGAACTCAGTCAATGGCGCCTTCAGAAACGAATGGCCCCTCATCCTGATAGTTTACCACAGTAAGCCAACAAAGAAACATAAGCAGAATAACAATATGGATATTTTCCAAAACTCAAGAAGTTGGCTTGTGTTCGGCATGACCCAGTAAATGGTACATTTTCAGCATTTTTACCTAATTCAACTGCAGTTTGTGGAATGGAATCAAACTGTGCAATGAAAATTCATATCACATTCATGAAACATCAGAATCCTCCACAGGAAATAAAGCCATATTGAATATATGACTACTTTATAATACACCTAGCACCGTAGGGTCACAGCTCTACAATAGTTGCAGAAGCGCACTTCAGGGTGGATCTCATAAACAAACCTGGGGAAAGAAAAAAAAGTAGAGGAACAGTCATACAACTCACCTCCCTGCCTCAAAAGTGAACCAAGCAGCATCTCGCCCGTACCGCCGCAGGGCACTTAGCGGCCAAGAGATGAGTTTGACTCTGGGATTCTGGACGTCCCAAAGACAGATGTGCTCATATGTAATCTGCAAGGCACATTCGCCATGTACATCTAAGTTAGGGGATGGCATCAAATACACATTGAATCTCTCTGGGAGAAAAACAAAAGGTTAGTCTAAAATCCCGGGAATAAAACATCAAAGACATTGTAGGAATAAAGAGGCATTTCAAAATAATTCTAGCCCATATTCTAGGTTTAGGTTGAATATTCTGGAAGATAAACCTTTCTCATAAATTCACAGTCTCAGAAAATGATTTTTTAAATGAAGACCATGTCAAGTAACATAATAATGACACAGTCTGGCTGTCAACACACACTAAACACTATTTACATGAGCAAAGACCATTTTTAGAATTTTTAAATTTGCATAATAAAAAATTTGTATGCCAATAAAAGACTAAAGCAGTGAAACCATTAAAAACAATTTTTTTCCTGCCAAGTACATATTAATTACACCCACATTTTTGTGTTCACAAAAGATGCAGGTGCAAAATAATTGTCACACGATTTAATGATATTAGAGTTTTATTGATCAACTCATAATTTTCATAACTAAATGAATAAAACTATATCCCATATCATTTAAATAAAACTCCATACCAATTACCATGCACTTAACTGACCACCGGTTTGGGGAAAATCCAATGAATGTATTTGAACTAGTTGTAACAAGAACTCTCCTCAGCCAATTACAAATATCCATTTGCTTATTTGGATGACTGTTAAAATTTAACCAAGATTACTCTAAATAAACAACTTGGCTTATTACTGCAACCAAATGTTCATCCCCACAGATTCAGTCATGATATTTCTGTTACATTTCTAGAAAATTCATTAATTTAGGAAATTAGGAGTCAAAACCTCTAAGAAAACATGAAGAAAAATATTACAGCAAATACATTTTCACCTATCCACCATTATGGTAGATTGCCTACATCTGACAAATAGTGTGGCACCAATCATATTAGTGGTATTCTAAATTAATTGTTTTATAATAAGGAAGTCATTAGAATTCTTGTAGATTTTAGCTGAGTTTAGTACGTAGGAGTGTCATGATTGGATGATTTCATGGATATATTTTTTCCAATTTTCTAAAGTTATTTCAAACTCCCAATAACTCATTATTTGCTGCCTTCTAGCAACTATTATTTTAAAAGTATATTCTAACGGAGTAACAGTTCTCTCGGGGGAATTCTGGAACAAGTCAGATAGACAGTCATCATTAAGTGAGAAGTAACAGAGAAATCGATAATGACCAATTTATTCACGTAGAAATTCTTCTACAACTCTACTTCACTCAAGAATCACAACAGTAACAGTGGTAAGAGCAATTGGTTTTGTTGCAATTACTTGAAGTCATGCAAGTTAATATTGTAAAATGCCTTCAAAGACATAGTTGAGTTTTGTAATGATCCCTACTAGTTATGGACCAGGGATATTTTTATTCCTATTTGACAGAAGAGGAAATCGAGGCACAGATGGTACAGTAGAGGGAATGCCTAGGCACAGCCCATTCCTGGATTCCATTTGCAGCACCATCAGGATGCAGCTTCACAAATATAAATTTGTGAAAAATAGGTGCTGGTCTGAGCACTCTAGATTTAAAGAAAAGCAAAACCTAACATATTTTCCTCCTTGCTTGGCTTCATATGCATCCATCCATGAGGCACTACAGGTGCATCTTCTCCGCCCAGAGCATGCTGATTTAGTGAACCATACGAGGGAGAGCCCAGGGCTTGGGTGTTATGACCCTGGAAAATGGCTTGGCTTCTCCGCACCTCAGAACACAGTCTACAAAGAGACTTTTCTAAATTAGCCAAGCACTTGTAAGTCTCAGTCAATAACACCTCCATGGAGATGGATTATGGCAGATATGGTGCATCCAAAATAGTCCCAGACTGTAAATGTGTCATGAAGACAGTTCCAAGTGAAAGCAAGGGCATTTTTTACTAATTGGAGTGTGCACCCATGGCGAGGGTCAGTACAACTCCACATGTGCCATGTTTGTAATCAAGCCAGGGGACCCACGGCCTTTTTGGTTGTGTTCCATCCTCACGGGTGAAGTCAATAGGTTACAACAGAGCAGGACTCTGGGATCCAATCCACCCTGTCACAAGGCTTCGTTATTTGGAAACAAAGAAATAATCCCTCACTCCCAGGCTCACACTGTAAACCAACACTGAGTTTTGCTGAAATGTTCATGGGGGTTTTGGTCATTATTACCTAAACTGATTTATGCCCAGGTTGAGTGTTGAGCTCAAGGAGTTGGCTCACGTGTTTCAGTTAAAAAAAAAAAATGGACAGAATTAGGTGGGTTTAAACCTGAGAATACATTCATGAAGTGTGGATTCTACTAAAAACATCGGAAAGCTTTTAGTGCAATACTTTCAGCGAAAAATGCAAGACAAAAAACAAACAAACAAACCCCCCATACCCATTATGTGGTCAAATCAGGATATTATGAGGATAGGCCAGGAATATAGTCTGGTATCAAACACTAGCTGTAGGAATTGGAGCAAGGGCTATAGCATTTCTGAGCTTCAGTCTCCTCATCTGTAAAACGCAGGAAAGTGTTATGGGGCTGCCAGGCAAATGACTTAATTAATTGCATTTAATGCATTAAAGGACTTAATGCATCTGCCACAGAAACCGGCACATAGCAGGTTCCCCCAGGTTTCTAGATGATGTTATTAATATAGATACCTTCATATTTGTGCGTCGAAAACACATTAAGAAATACACTGAAATAGTGACACAGGATTTAGGTCAAATAAAGGTTCTTTTAACTTCTCACTTTATATCATTTTTTTTTTTGTAATTTCAAAAATTCCACATAGGGAAGACGTCTTATGGTGAGACATAAACAGTGTTAAAGAGAGCGAAGGAGAGAATTTTCTTTACATACCACTCTGTTCTCTCTCAACCCCAGTAGCCAGTAAGTCAGGCTCTCCGAGGCTGATGTCATTGATCCGCGTGCCCACACACTCCATCTGGAGCACTTTGCACCATTCATCCGCCTCAAGATCTGTGGAAACGTCCGAAAGATTAACGCACATGCCCAGCACCTGTTTTGAACACAAAAAGCAAAAGCCCTCCCTGCCTCCGACGAACCTGATTCACAAGCAAAGGTCTTGGAGGTATCATCATTGAAATAAATCCCGATGGCGTGTTTCTTGGTGCTCTTTGGCAACCGAGCTACGTTCTTCACATTGTTGAGCTCTGTAACCTGCAAAAGCAAACCATTGCCAGTCCGATCACACTCCCCGAGTGAGTGTGCCCAGTCACCACCCCCACGCCGGTGGAAGGCACCCCGCAGGTGAACACCACTTGGCAAAAAAAGGGTGTTTTTGAAAGCTGTGAATTCTTTCGGTGTTATCCTTAAGACACAGCAAGGGAGGGGAGCGAATTACCTCCCTTTTTCAATTTTTCTGAAACATAGTAAGTGGCACGAGCTGAAAACTTCATAGAGACAGAAAGCTCATTTTAGGGTTTTTCTCTCCCCAGAGTCTACCTAATGAATAATTCTCAAATCGGTATCCTTGTCCCAGTGGAGACTTTCAAATACTCCAACCCCTGGGGGGACTCCCAGTGAAGGTATCCTCCACCCATCCACCCCGAGGAAGGAAGGGAATGGAGGCCCGGTTTCCTAAAGGAAGGGAATGGAGGCCCAGTGAGTCATTTCACTCTCTGATACTCAAGAATGGAGTGTCAGAAGTCCCCAAAACGCCCCTCCACTTGGGGTTCAAGTCACATATTCCAAAACAGACAGTGGGTTTTCCCATTCTGTCTTACTCTTGGTTTCTCAATGGTTTGCAGGGCCTCTGTTTTAGAGTCTGCATGGCACCCTCCATGGCATCACTTTTTCTTATCGTTAGGGAAAGCCTCGCCCATTAGACCTCTTCTATCTCCTTCCTCTCTCCCACAGTCTCTTGGTCCCTGTTATAAACACTCAAAATGTTAACACATTTATAAACCACCCCCCTCCCGCTAAGGGTACTGGTTTATTGTGTTTCCAAAATGGCTGTCCCTCCCTCAGTTACATCCAGATCCCCTGCTGCATTCCAGGGTTGTGATCACTGGCTGCGCCATAGAAGGCATCCATGGCTTCAGGGTATTTACAAGATACATAACACACATTAACAAGTTTAGCCTCCCCTTCCTATCGCTCTTTGGGGTTTTTATAAAAGAATGTATCTCCCATCTGTCTCTGCCTTCAGTTACCGAGCTCATCTTATTCTAGATTCAAGGAATGCCTGGCTCAGGAAGCAGGGGAGGAGAGAAGTCAATATCCTCCACGTATACCCTAACCTGATTATTTTATTCCCCTACTTCTTAACTTCCACTGGCTCTTTTTATAATATAAAAGGCAAATTTCTTGGCATAAAATATCTTTTTTTTTTTTTATAAATTAATTTTTATTGATGTTCAATTTACCAACATACAGAATAACACCCAGTGCTCATCCCGTCAAGTGTACCCCTCAGTGCCCATCACCCATTCACCCCCACCCCCCACCCTCCTCCCCCTCCACCACCCCTAGTTCATTTCCCAGAGTTAGAAGTCTTTATGTTCTGTGTCCCTTTCTGATATCTCCCACACATTTCTTCTCCCTTCCCTTATATTCCCCTTCACTATTATTCATATTCCCCGGCATAAAATATCTTAACAGCTGCTACTGACCAAATGTTTGTGGCTCCCCAAATTTACATGTTGAAATCCTACCCCTCAAGGTGACAGTATTAAGAGGTGGGACCTTTGAGGGGCACCTGGTGGCTCAGTTGGTTAAGCATTTACGTTTGCCCCAGGTCAGAATCCCAAGGTCCTGGAATCGAGCCCCGCATCAAGCTCAGCCAGGAGTCTGCTTCTCTCTCTGCCTCTGCCTCCCCACTGGCTTGTGCTCTCTCGTGCACTCATTCTCATTCTCTCTCTCTCTCTCTCTCCTCTCTCTCTCTTAAATAAATAAATAAATAAAATAAATCTTTTTTTTTTTTTTAATAAATAAAATCTTAAAAAAAAAAAAAAGAGTTGGGACCTTTGGTGGGTGATAGGTCTTGAGGGTGAAGCCCTACTGAACAGGATTAGTGTCCTTATAAAAAAGACCCCAGAGAGTTCCTCATGCCTTCTGCCATGTGAGAAGATGCCTTCTATGAACCAGAAAGCAAGGTCTCAGACACTGAATCTGCCAATGCCTTGACCATGGATTTCCCACGTAGATTCTAGAACTATGAGAATTCTATTTCTGTGGTTTATAAGCTACCCAGTGTATGGTATTTTTTTTATGGCAGCCCAAATACACTAAGACATCAGTGTTCCCCCCAAAAGCTGGCTAAATAAAGCACTACCTACCTTAGCAGGAAGCTTTAGTAGCTCGACACCACCAACATTATTCTCCAGCTACTCCAAATCCCCCCGAGTTTACCAGATACAACAGTTGATTTTTTGAAGATTTCATTTATGTATTTATTTTAGAGTGAGGAAGAGTACAAGCAGGGGAAGGGGCAAAAGGAGAGAAAGAATCTCAAGCAGACTCTGTGCTAAGTGCGGAGCCCGACACAGGGCTCGATCTCACGACACTGAGATGGTGACCTGAGCAGAAATCAAGAGTCAGATGTTTAACTGGCTGAGCCACTCAGGCACCCCACAACTGCTTATTTTTTATGTATGTATTTTTGTGCTAATACCCCAATACAAGCACTACTAGCCACAACTACTTATTAGCCTTTCTACTTCCATCGTAACCACATTAATTCACTGTAAACACAGCATCCAGACGATCTTTCCACACACAAGTCTGATACCAGCATTTCTGTGCATAAAACAGAACACTTCAGTGACTTCTCTTTGCACTTGGAATAAGCAGCCAAGTCCTTAGAGTGACCATCGAGGCCCTCTGTGGTCTTTCCTGTAGCTACCTTGCCAGCCTCCTCTCTGATACCTTCCCCATGTGTCTCAAGTTCCAGCCACAATGGCTTTTGTTCAAGCCTCAGAAGGCACCATGATTCTCCTGGCATGCTTTCCTTATTTCACTTGCACCCACCGACGGGTCCTAGTTTAAATCTCAGTTACGTGCAGAGCCCTACTCGACACCCCCATCCCTCCATCTAATCAGAGTCTCCAGGCTCTGTCTTCCAGTGACATCTTTGCCCTCACGGCCCTGTAATGGGTATTATGGCCTACAGTTTAGAGCCTGTCTTGCCTCGAGAATGGAAGTTCCCTAGGTTTTTGCTCACCACTGTGTCCCCTGAACCTAAAACAGAACCCGTCACCTTGGGGGAACCCACTGTATGTATGTGGATTGATGAACAAAAGGCCAAACACACCCACAAGTTTACTTGCACGGTGCTTCTTCAAGGTGAATGTCTCTTTCTCCAGAAAAATTTTACTTTTCCTGCAAGGCCAACTTCCTCTAGGAAACTTGCCCTGACTTCAGTGTGAATTACTCATTATCACCCTCTCTCTGTTCCCAGGTATGCGGTATGAAGCTTTGTTCTATTATCTGTTATTGTAATTAATACATCGATCTCTCCAGCACCCAGCTAGACGTGAGTCTCCTATCAATGACTTACTGATGGTCTGAATCAATGACAGGCAATCATCTGAGAATCAACATTTATTGAGTCTGCACCGTATACCACACACTGTGCTTGGACTACTTTTACATAATATGTCACACTTGATCTTCATAAACACCCTGCGAGATAGATATTATTGCCAGCTATTTTCCAGCTGAAGAAGCTGTGGATGAGAAAGGTCAAAGTCATGTGTGCAAGGTCACAGCTAAAAAATGGCAGCACCAAGTTCTGAATGAGGCAAACTGCCCCCAACGCCAGTGCTCTTCGCCCATCCAAAATACCAAGGACCGACTCTAAATGCTTTCAGCACAGAGAATCTTTAGCCCAGAAAGTCATCTCCATCTCATATTCAAGGACTTTTTTTTCACTAGTGTGTACACTGGGGGCAGGGAGGAGCTGGTGGGGGTGCTGAAGTAGGGCATGAGTGCCCCAGGCTTTATTCTGACCCTCTACTGAGCCATTATGTAAGAGTAGTCTACTCTAACCTAAGGCACAGCACCGACTTTGAAATATGTCATTTCACTGCACATCCATTAAAGGTATAGAGGAAGGAATGTCACCTGAAAGGGTCAGAAAATGTAGGGAGAATTGCATGAGTCAGACCACAATTACCCGTTTTGGAAATTGGTTTAGATAATAAGCAACCCAGCACCCTCGGCTCGGGGGACGTTAAGTGTTCAGGGCAGGCAGGATTATGTTTTTATGTGTCAAAGGACTATCAGGTTCTAACACAACAGTTTCTGCCCCCCAGTTCAGAACTACATCTCAATGAGCATGTGCTTGCCCACATACCCCCCCCACCAGCCACATTCACACCCTCTTTCTTTCAAAAGAACTGCAATCTATGCCAATCCATAATAGAGCCTTCCTCAAAATACGTGCTAAAGTGAAAATTATGAGAACATTTGCAAATATATTTATATCACTTAAAAACCTGTATAAGACATATTTATTTCCACCATCGCTCCATTTTGTAAATGAGAAAACCAAAAACAGAACATATTTTTTTCATATTCCTTTTACAAAGACATCATTTGCCCCTGAAGAATCACTTTTGAAGCAAATGTAGATTTTGATAAGGTCTCAGGTTCTTGTGTAATATGGATGATATTTTACACGGGGGCTAGTAAGTGTATCTCATCACCAACACTGACTGTATTGGAGCTTCAATATGACCTCAGAGAAGATGAGCATTCAGGACCATGCACAGGCAATATCTTCTGTTTGAACTTCTTGTCTTTTTCTTATGTCTCAGATCAGAAGTTATTTTGTACCAAGTTCAAAACTTTTTAGGAAAACTCCATTCTGAGCCTCTGTAGTCAGAGATTTTACTTTTCTTTCACAGTGTAAGAGAAAAGACACACCCTAAGCTCTATACGGATTTTGCCATTTTTGTGTAGAGATTCACAAGTAAAATGTAAAAACTTCTACAAGGTGTAACAGCATCAAGGGAGGAGTGACTTAAACACAACTGTAGGAGAGTTACATTCCCTCTTCAGGGATCTTCCTTGAGGGGGTGCCTGGGTGGCTCAGTGGGTTAAGTGTCTGCCTTCAGCTCAGGTCATGATCCCAGGGTCCTGGGATCGAGTCCCACACATTGGGCTTCCTGCTCATCAGGGAGTTTGCTTCTCCCTCTGTGCTTTCTCTCTCTCTC